GCTATGATGGCATTCAGCCGCCTTCTGCACCTGTGATATACACTCCTTATAGACGGACACACCGTACTGGAAACGGAATACTCCAGTGGCTGAGTAGCTCACTAGACATTCCTCTGGCTAAAGGTCTCTTACACAGTGAACAGCACTGTAGGCTAACAGGCTCATAGTGCAATAGGAGACGACCTTAGATGACGTGCATCCCAGCTACAGACCAGCACGACGACGACGGTGATCGACTGTAAACCCCACACTCACAATAGAGGAAATGACACAAGGAAAAACATAACATGCACCAGCACGACTTTCCCGGCAACATCGCCCTCAGCCACTCCCGCGCCTATCGAGACCCGAGGTCCCCCCCGTGGCCTTATCAATACGGAAGGTTGTATAATAAACTCCCTGCTGAGTAGGGCCTGCTCCCGCTTTCACATGACTATCTTGCGAAGTACTCAAACGATCACAGATAACTTCGAAGAGCACCATCCTAGATCTGCCTATAGCCAGGGTCAAGTCTCATCACACTGACTTCTTGTAAGCTACATAGAGCGATATATATGCTCCTATCGCACCTGTCCTCATTGCGACCACTCTATCCTACTCCAACCACACTTTCGTTAAGGAGTGGAGAACATCCCTGGGCCTCTGCAGGCCTCGATCTCTCATCCTCCCCTTGTATTACCACTATCAACTCCTCCTTATTGCAGCGGACCACCACAACATCGTCAGTACTGACGATCGACCTACGTCGAGCCGTGTGGTATGGCCCTGTCCGAGCTCATGAATCCTAATCGCATGAGAAGGTTGCACACATTACGAGTGGCTGCTCTTCATCGCTTACAGACTACGGACAGGTAGTACGATACCCTACAAATGTGAGTGAACAACCCCGTTATATAAATCGTAGTCGCAATAGGAGAGCTGATGGTAGTGGGCAGAGCTAAATGGATGTCGGCCCTTCTACCACACTCACAACATCTCAACTACGCCAAAACTATAAAGGAAAAGCGATACTAGAAAGCTCCACAGGAAAAGCAGCAAAGACCTCGGCCATTGTGCTAACCGCAGGGAGGTCTATTCACAACAGTTGATAGCCATCCTAGTTGATCCGCTCCCAGCTTATTCTAACCCATCGATAACAGCCAGAGATGCCTTCTAGTCGGCATCGGGACGTGAATTAACCTTTGACCTGATACGACGACTCTGACGTTGCGAAAGGGCTTATCGCAGAGCACAAGTCGTCGCTTAAAACGTCAGCGGTCCCCATGCATACATAAACCAACTAAAGTGTTGTCGCCCTACACAGCTAGACCCAGCCGACCACCTCGGCACAGCCGTTGGCTGCTCTTATGCTAGCACGGAACCTTTAAGAGCTAGATATAGAAGGAGCCCTTCAAAAAACACTATTTCCGGTATGTCCTTATAATAGTGGGGATCGTAAATCCGACCTAGTGGACAGGTGGTAAAGCTGTAGTAGGCGAGATAGTGACGGCACATTTTAGTCCACTCAGGCTAGATGCAAGCCTAATGAGCTCCGCCTCGTCCAGCCGCGTCGTTGACTGAACGACAAACATCATAGTTGTGATGCGATGGCCCAGGGCACTCTATCGAGTATGAGGTAAAGCTTGAAGGCAACATCGGGATGGCAGAGGTGCAGCAGAGACCGACAGCCTAAAGGAATGCTGAGTTGTCCACCGAAGAAGAGGACCTGAACCTCCGGGGGAATCCTACCGGATGCCCTCAGTAGCTAAGAGCCGCCGATTGAAATAAATCACCCTAA